CCCCCCCCCCCCCCGCCCTTTTCATGGTATGGCAGTCCCTGTTTAAATGCTAAGCTTGTATTTGAGAAATTCATTATTAACCTTCCACTATATTATGAATATCATTGTTTTGCTTCTGACAAACGAACGAGAAAGTGCTTTATGTTGTATCATAAGACTAGATTATCTAGTCAATACTTTCCATTCTGAGTGGCAGTCCTTTTTTCATGATTTCACATACTTTGTGTCAGTCTTGCTAGCTATGAGGTTTTGAACTGGATATATCACAGATTACATCTGTGCTCTCCGATGTGCAAAACTATGTTCTAGCTCAGAATTACAGGCTCTTCCTATAATGTGTATGCAAAATGGCAACAAAATACTTCCTTAGAGTACAGACTCATGATGAATGATGCATAAGCACTAGCAGGATGAGATTTACATTCTTATATAAAGAGATATATTTATTTCCAGTACAATATGAGTTTATCTGTAGACTAGTTTATCTATGTCCAGAGTGCCAACGAAGGTAATCTTTCATAATTTCATCTAAGCAACTTTTTAGGAGTTTCATTTCAGGGCAAGGAATTAGCCCAAGTTCCAAAACAGTTTTTAGAAATTAACTGTAAGAAGCAAAAGATATTTTTTTTCACAGACACTAAAGTATAAAGCCAATTCCTTCATAAACTCCAAAACTAGCGAAGTGTTTAGTATTGTCTTTAAAAGTCAGATCACACTGATTGGATTAGAGAATCTTTTTAGGGGATTATAGTATTAAGGAAAAACTATCTGCAAATTTATGGAGTATACATTAGAGTCTGCCAGGAAGGAGCCAGACTGAGAAATAACATTTCTGTGGGTCATTTACTCTTTTCTTCACCTTTAAAATATTATTTTCTATTGTTTTTTTTTTTCAGATTAGCAAGTAGCTTTTTGGCTGAGTCTCACACATGCAGTTATATCAAGCTTGTGTGTATGCTAAGTATATGTATGCACCTCAGCAGTTGGCAGCACTTGACTGTGAAGCTGAGCAGGGTATACTTGGGTACTACTTAGATGGGAGAGCTCCGGGGATGTAGTAGGAAAAGAATTCCAAAAGGTGGCAGGGGTATATCAAAAAATTACATGGATATGTCCATGAGGACACCAGGACTCAAGCTCACCTCTTGACTTTATATAGATAAGGAATCCCTTTGTGTTTATCAGATTAGTTGGATAGGACAAAACTAGATATGGCTTTGGCAAATATAAGTTTATGCCCTGTTGAAGGCAAGGGGTCTTCTTAAAAAGCATATGGGAAAGAGGCACCCAACCTCTTTTGTGTCTGATCATTTCAGATACCTTGCTTCATTTTATACTAATTTTCAGGACTGGAATTAGGAAGAAAGAAAAGCAAGTATAGCAAAAAAGCACTTAACTAAGCTTCCTCTTAAAATAAAACCACTCTTGTTATTTTATACATAAATAGGGTGTACATAGGAATGATCTAGGCATATCTGTTTTGATCCTTCCAAATAAATCAGTTATGATACTGGGTATCAGGATCACATTCAGTTTTATGACAGCGGCTTCGGTGGTGATCAGTAGGATGTTCAAACAAGGTATAGGAACTCAACAGTTTTCATTATTAGCTTGTTAAAATGAATGCCTCTCAGATTTAGCTAAATTCATGAGAGGAGAAAGGATCTAATTTTCTGGTAGGCCCCGCAACATTTGTACCAGTTGATGAGGTTGTCCAGTTAATTTATTGTAAATTGCATTTATTTATTTGCTCACATTGGGATTTGTTTTTATAACTTTGAAAAGCAGGTTATTTTTAAATATAAATAACTAAAATAACTACATTTGTGCAGTATGCTAAATTTATATTAAATATTCATATTGCAGGTTCATGAAATAGTTGAGTGTCAAGAATGTGACAAGAAATTTATTTCAGCTAATCAGCTAAAACGCCATATGATAACTCACTCAGGTAAAAGACAAATCTTTTCTTCCATGTCAAATAAAACTCCTCATATTATTTTAAATTATTTTGGTTCATGCTTACATTGGAGTTTTCAAAAATTGCATGGTGTTAAATGCTAATAAACCAATAGACTGTTGTGCCATTACAGCCTTTCCTGACCAAACACATTTCAGATATATTATACTACAATTCTCAGAATTCCTTTGGCCGTACTATTTGATAATTCTATGAAATGTCATCAAATGCATCTGGAATGTGTAAGTTGAAAAAAGTAGAACTATTAGATAATGAATTCATAGCCTAGATAACTCTTTTTTCCCTTTTTGGGAAGGTAATTTTTTGGGAAGGTAATTCTTTTGATATGAATAAGATAGCTTTGTATTTCTAAACAGTGCATTTTCATACTTCCTTTTGGATAGGTATACTTTGAGTGGGTAGTTGACTAAAATGATTTAGATCAAGGACAGGTTTTAATGGCTTTATAAGTTTAAGCCTACATGTATAATTATAATGCTTTACCATTAATTGGTTGTGCCAATCCTAGAAAGGTCAGCATTTGTAATATAGCCTATGCTTCACCAGCATACCACCCCACCTTGGACCCCTTTGCCAACTTGATCAGTTTTCTTAAAATTTTGTCAAACTATTTTTAACAATTTGATTGTTACCCAACTAGTATCATTGGATGCAAATGATGCAGAGATGAACCTTTAGCAATGGCTGTTTTTGTGGACTGACACTGGCAAGAGAAGGAGACATCCATTACCTGTTGGTCTCTAGTCATTAGCAAAATGCTTCTATTATCTCTAAACCAGGCCATATTCTCCATAGGCAGCAGAAATTCAACTATGTTCTGTTTCCCCTACCCCAATTCTTTTCAAACAATTTTCAACTTTGCAAAGCAGTTTTATTGTTATCTGCTATCCTCATCTCACAGCACGCTGCAAGTACATTTGTTTAAACAAAGAATCAGAATGAATTTCAGAAACTTTTAGAAGTTTATTGAGGTTATAGATTAGAATGGTATAGTAGTAAGAGTTCAGCTACCAACTGAAAGCTGGAAACTTAAACATATCAACTGAATTTTAATAGAAATGAATATGCTATGTGTATTACTAATTAAGTTTTAAAATGTTTAAACTGTCATGCCCTCTTTCTCATTGTTAGTCTGGCAAGAAGCTTTGCCTCTTTGAAGTCATTCTCTTTTGATTTAAGCTAATTAATCAGAGTTTAGTTTTTGCTGTGATTGTTGCAAAGAACGTGCCAATTTCTCAAGATGCGCCATGGCTTATATTTTGGGAAGCGACTTAACTGTATAACGTAAAGGGCATAAGATGTCTTTCTAATTGGTTTAATCTTAATTGGGTTGACTTCGTTGCAGAAATCTCTCTGAGGAGATGAATGTTTCTGCCTTTCATCTTCTAGCCCAATATAAACAAGAGCTTAAATGTCCCCCCACTCATTTTCTGCAGAAAAACGCCCCTACACCTGCGAGGTTTGCAATAAGTCCTTCAAACGACTTGATCAAGTGACTGCACACAAAATAATACACAGTGAAGATAAACCCTATAAATGCAAGCTTTGTGGAAAGGGATTTGCCCACAGAAATGTTTACAAGAATCACAAGAAGGTAAAAACAAAAAACCCAAAAACACTCTGCTGTTGTTGTTTACAGCTCTGCCAAGCTTAGATTTGCAGCTGTTGCTCATTTCAGTGGTGGATCAGTACGCTTTGGCATGCTTCGAGACACGAGCTTCAAATCTTGCAAAATATTAACGTTACATACGATAGCCTAGAGATCAAGATAACAAGCAGGTTCCTGGTTATTGTTTGGTGTTTCTTTAATTGACCCAAACTAGTTCAGTTGGGTTCCTTCCTGTAGGAATATTTTTATTCTTTTTTTTTAAAAGAAACTGGAAACCTCTAGTGAAGTTGTAGTCATTTTTTTTTTTTCATTGTGACTACTGGGAGAAACATTACAATTTGTACTGTGTTCCAGTTAAATATAATTGCAGCAAGAGAAGGAACTCTGCCCTAAAAGTATAGAGGACCTTCACTTTTCAGCCTGCACAGAGACCCCTCACTGTGTGATTTAAGCTGCAATCTGCCTGCCCTAATTTAGATAATGTCTGTCATTACTTTTGACCCCGGGTCACATTTTCAGTGGCACGGCTGCACCCTTGACTGCTGCTGCTTCTTCAGAATGGTAACACTGTTCAGAAGGAGAGAGAGAGAGAGCTTCCTGCTTAGCATTTGGTCTCCCCCCGCCCCCCACCGCCAACACTTTGATGAAACAGATATACCAAAACCTAGACATACTTTTCACAGTTTGGCTCATGTTATATGCCATCTGGGAATTTGGCACTGAATCTTTGCACCATCGTTTGTGTTTTCAGCCATAAATCATATGAAAGTAATAATAATAACCAAAATACGTCTTGCATGGTGAAACAATTATGACTGTTCTTTCTAACACAAACAAGATACACAAATCTGTTGAAAGGCCAACTAGCTTACATGCATATCACAATCATAACTTGCATATATAAAATCCTTTTTTAAAAATGAACTTTAAAGTGGCTGCTTTTAGGGAAACCAACTGAAATATACTCTAAGCAGTCACCTTTTAAAAAATTACAACTCTTGTATCCTAAATTGAGGACATAAATAAAAATGTTAATTAAAATGAGACAGAATAGGAACAACATTGACTATAAACATTAATGTTGAAAAGGCTTTCGGATAATTTTGAGGGATTTGCAATAATCTGTGGAAGGATGTTCACAATGATATATTTTCAGGTCTGAATTGTCAACTGTGATAAATACCCTCTGTTGAGGTTCTCGTCACCTGGAGCTGATGTTTGTAATGTTATTAGATCTGATAGATCATAGATGGACAACTTTCAGTTTATTTCTTAGTGGACAAGGCAGGTATGAAAGGAACAAATAGGGAATGGGGGAGAATCACATGTATCTTCATTGCAGCTTGAAGCTCCATGCAAACAGTGACAGGACTGATCTCTTTGAGTTAAGGGAATGATTCAATAATCTTGCCTTTAGCTTCTTAAATAATTACATAGAGGAAGTGCTGCTTGGAGTTTCTGGAGAAAATGGAAGGCCTCTGGATTGGAAAATACAATGAAGCATTAGGCAACAGGCATGGGTGCTAGCTATATGACTGATACATGGAATCTGGGTGGCAGAGTAGGGAAAGGAAACGGCTATTTGAGGAAGAGAAAAAATATGATTAGCATTTAAATCCCACTTGAAGGGGAACCCTTTTTCAGAAAACGAGTAAGGGACTTTGTATGTGCTGTAAATTCAGGGGGGAAGTAGTAGTAGAAATTGGCAAATTCCAGAAAGCATTGTATATCTTGATAGTTTGGGGGGTGGAGATACCAATATATAATTGTGTCCACCAGGAATCCATCTGGATATCTTTAGAAGCAATAAAATAGCTCAAATAATCAGACAGGCAGATCAAAGGCCCATTTCCCCAGCTTATCATACAGTTTGTGTTGACAAAGCCAGTCTAGTCCAGTCCTTACCTCTTCAGATGTCCAAAATACATGACAGATTTGATTTACAGTATATATCTTATGAAGACTGATGGAGTATTCAATAAACTATAGAACATGAGTGGGTATTTAAACTTTAAGCTGTCACAGATAGTTTGTATTTCATGTGAACAAGATAGGAGCCACCTAACTCAGCACAGTTACAGGATTAATGGAGAAACAAGGTCGTCACAAGCATCATCATAAGGCCCCTTCTTTCTTAGACAGGTCATCTTATGCAACATACAGTATTTGGCAGATAAGACAGGAGAAATGTCCTTCTGAGATGCAAGGAATAGATATGTCAGGCCCTGGAAGCAATGAGTTTTGCATGCTGGGTAGTCAAATATACACAACCTCAGTGAATATGTGGATTATGGGTCTGAAGCCAGTCCACCACAGGATTATAGGAAAATGCAAAGGGAAAGCCAGAAAAAGCTGCAGCAATGCTTTTTGGTTTCAGATGGTAAGAAAGGATCTCTGTGTTCAGAAATTGGTACAAGTTGCAAGATTCTGCTACCTATGGTTTCCACTGTTGTCTATGGTTTTCAGGGGTTTGACAGGTTAAGCAGGTAAGGTGGACATGCAGTGGATGAGTTCTACCCACATAAGTTGCATTATGGCTATTTTAATTTCTGCTTTTTGTTTGGTTTATAAAGATTTTATTATATTGTTTTTGTTGATTGCTGTTAGTCCCCCAGAGTTCATCTGATAAATAAATAAGTTTATGAACTTCTTGGTGGTGCCAGGATCTATTAGAGTCTCAAGATGTATTACAGAGCCAGTCTGAAGATGAAGAATAATAGAAAAGACCAAATGTTGGCACTTAGCATCAAAAATCTGAGCCTTACTTAGTTTTTGGATACCTCCCTCCAAAATCTTTGAAAGGGGGACCAAATTGTTTCCTGAGAAGCTAGCCTATAGAACTTAGACTGCTTGAAAAATGATCCTCTTTTCTCAAGCCATTGCTTCAAACAGGGAGGGTTTAGGAAGTAAATGTAAAATAGTGTGACCTGAATAGTGCAAACAGAGGTTATGTATTCATCAGCACTACTTTCTCTACTTTCTCCAGTAATGGAGTCCTATTGGTCCAAAATGCATGGGTTCAGCATCAGAGGTGTGTGCATGGTGTGTGTGTTGTGGGGGGAGGAATAAAAGTTCTTCCTAGCTATATTTTTGCAATTCCTCAAGCTATCCATTAATAGCCACATAAAGGTAGATTAATGCTTCTTATGTTCCTGGACTGCCCTGTTGAATTAGCTTGGGCTGTATGTATGTATGTATGTATGTATGTATGTATGTATGTATGTATTTATTTATTTATTTATTTAATCACATTAGTATAACCGCCCATCTCACATAGTGACTCTTGGTGGTGTACAAACAAAATGTACATTTTATTAGGTAGTGCAGCTAAACTTGTCTAAGTAAGGATAATTCCTTCCTAGTGAACAGAAACCTAGTAAATGTTGGATTTCATGCTTAGATGGGATTGTCAGAGGCAGCCTTTAGCATGGCTATGGACTTAATGTAATTGTTTATGTTGCAGAAAACAGGTTACCTGTTTTTCCCCTCTTTTAGTCTGACTCATACCTGGGAGCAAACTGTGTGGAATTCTCCTATTCTTTTTTTAAAAAATTATTTATAAACGTTATTAATGTTTAACAAAACAATATTTAATCTTAAATAAAACAAGAAAATTTAAAAAAAAATTAAAAGTAGAACTAAAAATGCAAACTAAGCAGAAAAAAAAAGAAAAAATCTATGTTCTATTTTATACTTATCGATAGTCACTGGTTTACCAATGAATTCACTATTATAAAATGAACAGTACAAAATATTATTGTAAGATATCCCAGAAGCTCTGCCATAGTAACACACATTGCTGCATCCTTTGATTAGTAGAGCATATTACCTTTTCCAAAACAGATAAATCACACATTTCTGACAATCATACTTTTCCAATTTCTTAATATAATTCTTTTTGCTCCCCCGCTATGCTCGATAGAACCACCATTCCTGATAAACAGTTAAATTCCAAAGCTTTGGAACATAATTCAACATTACATGAACATCTTTAACATGTAAAGATTTCCCCATAAATCTACTAATATACATTAATACACTGTCCCAAAAAGATACTAAATCACTCTACAGTGAGATGGGCGGTGACAATAAAAGAAATAAATGATCACATTTATGGGTCAGTGAGCCCTCAATTTTTTTAAACCTCTAACATGGAAAATATGATGTCCATCTTTTCAAATACATTCTTTGGGGAGTCTAGTACACTGGAATTCTCCTTTTCTTAACAAGATTTATAATATGCACTGAATCATGAAGGTAATAAATGTCTGGGGTTTCCACCATACTTGTCAGGCAAGGAATCGGGATTGTAGGAAAATGGCAGTTTCTGCTACAGCCGCTGTTGAAAGAGTCCCTATAGTGGCAGGCAGGGATCTGCTTTGGCTCACTTGCTAGGTTGGAGGTTCAATAGGAAAAGGTATTCTATAGAATAGTCTGGACCTCAGCCATGTAAGGATTTAAAGGCAATAACCAGGACTTTATTTATTCACTATAAAATAGTTGTACAAATACAGTATAGTTCAGTGTTTATATGATCTTGTGTCACCTTCTTGAGACTAACCTGGCAGCCCCAGGTAGAAGCATTGTGATAGTTAAGCCTCGAGGTTACCAGTGCATGTACTACCATTTCAAAATCATTTTCTTCCAGAATGGGATGCAGTTCCCATATTATCCAATGGCTAATATAACCTTGAGGATATAATAGGTATGTTTTTGAGGAGCAGATATGTCCAAACAACAATACAGTATCTGAAATCTACTAAAGACATAAAACAGAGTAGTTGTGTTTCCCATTTTCAAATCTGTCAGATGATCCAGAAAGATACCATGCTCAGTGTTACTGAAAGTCACTGAGAAGTGAAGAAGAACCAGCAAAGTCACACATCTTCACAATCCCTAATTATAGACCAAGGCAGCCAAGGCAGTCTCAACCCTGTAGTTTGTACTGAAGCCAGTTTGAAATGGGCCCTGATAAGTGGTCTTCT